GGCCTGTAGCGAGAAGTAAATGACACGTTTAAGTGACAAATCAACGTGTTTTCTCCTTTTTTTATAGCATCACAAGAATACAGCTCAAATAGAGCAGGCCGCTATGAAGAACCATCGAACCGAGGTGAATTTTCGGATTTTGGCTCAAAGAATTGGGAGAATGATGAAAATGACATGTCAAATAATATTAGTATGTATGAGATCCAAGAAGTTTGGCGTAGATGAGTTTAGGATCAGGGTTAGCATTCTGTCCCCCTTTTGCAGACGAATTCCTCTTTTTCGACTTTTCCCCACTTTCGTTCCACCTACTTTCAGCTTCTTTTTCAGCTTTTTCAAGGCTTTTTAAATTAAAGATTGAAGAGCCACGAACGTTTTTAATACAACTTCTTGACAATGATTCATCGTAATAGTTTCTTCGTATAACATGGAGATGTTAAATGCATATGTTGACACAAAACTGTTACGGTACGAAAAAGTTGAGTTGCGCACTAGACGTATAAAAAATCTGTTTTTTTTCAAGAGTTTAATTTGTTATTAAGAAGCTTTTACTTTTTCTCTCTGTTAACCGTGTGATGAGATATGCTTTACTTGCCCGGTTTTTCTAATTGAGACCTATATGTTACGACAATATGTTCGATTTTTCATGCAATAGTTTTTTAGACAATAACGAAAGCAGTGGCGATATCAGTGTTGGCAGAACACTTGTATTTGTTCGTGGTGGCCGTCGGGGCGGTGATAACAACTTTAATTCACGTAAGTCGCGCTCAGAAAAAAAAGTTTTTTTATTTTGTTTATACATATGTTTTACAGGACTATGTTTTAACTGTAATGAAGCAGGACATCAAGCACGAGACTGTACTGCATTTACAAAAGGAAGAGAAAGAGGTGGTACACAAGGTATTCATTCTTAAACATTTCTAAACGATATCATATTATCTTTGTATATTCTGCTTTTTTAACAGAATACAATCGTGGATTTTCCGGTGACAGTGGACAAATAGAAAATGTAAGAAGCTTCATAGCTTCAGAACTAATCTGGCATAAGTTTTCTGATTATTTTGTAGACATTCAATGACCATTCCGAAAGCCAAAGTATATTGGTAGTTACTAATTTAAGTATGTGATTAATCTGATTTTCTGATTTTCCAAGGTCTTAAACCTCGTGTTCAACGTTATGTACCGTCACCACCTCCAACTGCTCGAGAAGATATATTTGGAACTGCAACACAAAAAGGGGAAAATTTCCAAAAATATCATACGGCCAACGTGAAATGTAGTCCAGAAGGTAGTTGTACATCCTCTAATTTGGTCAAATATGTATTGATATTAAGGGCTTATTTGTTTGTTTAGGAGTAATAGTACCCATTGAATTGTATGAGGAAGCGCGGCTTAATACGGAAGTATTATCAAATATCCGAAATGTTCATTATGATGAACCAACAGCCATACAGCGATATGCATTGCCAGCTATTTGTCAAGGAAAAGATATAATGGCTTGCGCGCAAACAGGCTCGGGAAAAACGGTAAAAAGTATTACTAAAATAATCAACAATATTGCTCTTCAAACACTATTCATTACTTCAGGCAGCATTTCTTCTACCAATCATTTCCAATCTATTAGAATATCATAAAAACGAATTATCTGAATTACATGACCCACCATCGCCGTTATGCTTAATATTATCGCCAACAAGAGAATTGGCAGTACAAACGGACAGGGAAGCACGAAAATTTTCATTTAATACAGGACTGAAATCATGTAAGTAACCTAAGTGCCGATGTTTCAAGTGTTGCACATAATATGACGAAATACTTAGGGATTATACATTGCTGCTAGGGGCGATTCCTACTGTCTCAAAAGAAGTGGACTTTATGCAGCAGCTACCTCCTTTAAAAGATATTCCCACTAAGATATTTCCAACCGGGAAGTATAACGTTCACAAAAATACGCTTAGATTGCTTGTCTTTAATCTCAGCGACTTGTTTTGCCACAAGATTCTCTTTTACGTACAAAACACAGCCTCTCTCTAAAGCATCGCAATCGTTATAGAAAAGTTTATAACCTGGAATTGCTGTCTCAGATGAAGAAAACTTTATGAATTGACCGTGTTTCTACAACGCCAACCACAAGAGGATCTTTATTTCGGACATATTCAGGATTAGAGCCACAGAATTTATCCATTGCAAGAAAAATCCAGATTTTTGATAGTTTTTTAGTTTAGAACACTAATGCAATTTTTCCGCTTGTATGCTGAAAGAATGAAGTTTATATAAAATCCGAGGTTTTTTAAATCAATGATGTATTGCAATTTTTAAATATATCTGATCCTCCTGGTGTATTCTTTCTTATTGCAATGTTATACTATTTAGGTCTGGCTATTGGTGGCTTCGATATTTCTGCATCTTGCGATAGTTATGCAACAGGCTGCCATATTTTATCAGCAACAGCAGGTCGTCTGATAGATATAATCAAAAACGGATATGTAAGTATTGAACAAATTGTTTTTACACATAGTCTAAATAGTTATTGAAAATATTTTTAGTTCTGCTTAGGTCTCACTCAGAAATGTAAAATATTTTGTTCTCGATGAAGCTGATCGTATGTTAGATACTAGTTTCGGACCGGACATGCGAGAACTTGCACAATCAGGATTACCAACAAAAGATAATCGCCAAACTTCTATGTGGAGTGCCACATTTCCGCGTGAAATTCAAAATTTGGCCAAAGGGTTTTTAAAAGATGATTATATCTTTTTGGCTGTTGGTCATGCCAGTGGAGCAAATGAAGATATTATTCAAACAATTGAACTTGTACAAGAAGCAGACAAAAAAGATCGTTTAATCGAATTACTAGAAGAAAAATTTAGTAATTAATCTCATTTTTCAGTACTCTAAGGTTTACGTATATCTATAGTTTTGCTTGTTTTTAGAAAAAGAAAGATGTTTGATATTTGTTGAAACAAAACGACAAGCCGACTATATCGGGTTACTGTTATCGGGAAAAGGCCTTATAAGCACAACAAGTAAGTTTTTTGTGATAGTAAAGAGGAGTTTATTCATCTGATTTGTTGTTCTTTCCTCTTCAGTGCACGGTGATCGATCACAAAGCCAACGTATGCAAGCTGTTCGTCAGTTTACAACTGGCCAATGCCCAATACTCGTGGCAACGAGCGTAGCAGCTCGTGGATTAGATTTTCCGTTAATTGGTTATGTAGTCAATTATGATTTGCCAAGCTCAGGTGATTTTTATGTACATCGTATTGGTCGTACAGGTACGAAATTTTCTTGACTACATGACGCTATTATAAGGTTTTATAGTTTATTTTTCTCAGGTCGTGCTGGTCATGTTGGTAAATCAATATCGTTCTTTGATCCTACTAGGTCATCAGATAGACAAATTGCACCCGATCTAATAGAACGTTTACGAGAAGTATATAGTATGAAGGATATTATGCTAAAGCGGTCGAAACATCTAACCTTTTAGGTTGGTCAAGAAGTTCCAGAATTTCTTCAGAGACAAGTGGCGGGTGCTACCGAATTCCATCGTGAAAGAAGAAATTTTGATAATCATTCAACAGATGTAAGTTTTACATTTATACCGTATCGATGCTGTACTATGATCATATCGAGATAACTAGTTTGAAACAGAAATTGTTATAAGAACTTTTGGATCGTAAAAAATTTCTAATGAATAGGTTTTTGCACGAAGAACTTTTTTGTGGTAGATAGTCTTTTGCCATAATAACTAAGTTTCGTCTTTTGCTATTTCAGACTCGATTTCCTAGAAATTCAAATGACGCAAGTAGATCAACAACATATGCAGCTGGTGAAGCTGATTGGAAATAATACAATCATACTCTGTTGTTATTCTTTATCATTGATACGAATTGCTGTTGAACAACTATTTTTTTCGAACGTGATACACATATTATCCATTACTGTGCTGACTACGGTGATCAATAAAATGATTGTTTTAGCTATTTTACTTATTTTTTCTTTTCTTTGTTGTCCGCTTTTTTGTCTGTTATTCTTTTTCGGAAAAGAAATCTACTGGTTGTTTTTTCTTTTTGTCTGTATATGTATGTTTGTAGTTAAATTACTCGTTTTAGACTCTTCTTACACTGTAGGTCGGCTTGTTTTATGTTTATAGCATTTATTTTTTTCTTTATATTGTTTTTATTTGTGTCCGTATATTGTTTGTCTTCTATTTTATAAATATGAAAAAAATCAAGAATATCCAGTATTACTGTAGTGTAAGGTAAATACCAGCACCTCGTGTTGAGAATTTTTTGTTTGTGCGTTTTTTGTTTTCTTTGTTTTATTTTTTTCTATAAATTATCTGTGATTTTCTTTTTCACTTGTATGTATTTCTTTTCTCAAGAAAATGAATGAGTGTGCGCATCCATGTTAACAAACGAGAAATCTGAATACACATGTATTATAAACAGTTTTCGTTAATTAATGTTCAATCAGATGCCTTTATTTTTTTACTTTTTAGTTTGAAAAACAAACGGTTTTATGACTTTTTTTTGTATATGTGGAAAAGTTATGAATAGATGTAATAATCTAGTTTTGACTAGGCTTGCAGCATATTGGGTTATGTGGGATAGAAAAGAAATCAGTAATTAAGTTTTCATCAACTAGGATACTCTTTAGGTTGATTTATAATTAATATTAGGCTTGCTTTGAGTGAAGAAATAAACAAAGTTCTCTGAATTTAGACTCATAAGACGATAAGTTTTCACTTGAATAAGTTTTTCATTAGTAAAAAGATGCTATTTTACAGTAGAAAGCTCTCCTGTCTAGAATGGAACAATGAAAAGCAGTCGGCTACTTTTGTGACTCTCTCTCAGGAAAGAAAATGAGCCTCTTATGGCTTACAGGTTACTGTCCTCCGACAAGAATTTCTAAAGTCACGTCAACTGATGTTAATTTCATTGAGTTATATTTTTATTTTATCACTTTCGTCTAAATGCAGATGTAAATTTGCTCTGGTTTCGAAGTTTAATGGAAAAGAATATTTTTGGAAAAAAATTGATTGTCAATTTTCGTATGAAAAAATTTACAAACGTGCAGTACTAATGTATCTGACGCCTTTTTTTACCAGAATTTTTCTTTTTGTTTATCTAATGATTCCTAATTATTATGTGAAGTTATTTGAAGGCGACATAACTAAAATTTACTAGTATTTCTTTTCGACAGTAAATCTCATCAAGGATTTTTTTGTTCTTAACATATAAAATTGCTACTAGTTTCGAGAGTATTATAGCGTTTAGCCGAGATACTTTCATTTTGTGCGTAATACTCTGTTTAACTTCTGTCGGAAAGTATCGCCACTAAACAATCTGATCGAGCATTTAAACATTATTTACAATGACTATACTTTGAAAATGAAGTGAGAACTTAGGATTATCATGGTGTTTTGATCACAATCTTTGATCTATCATTGCCACTACAGTCATATATTATAATACCTTTACTATGACTATCGCCATCATCGATCAGTGCAATACGAAAACATGACATTAATGTATAAGATAACGATTAAGTTTTATTATTATTTTTGTATTGAAAAATCCATTCAAATTTTGGATGCTGAGTAGATAGATTATTCTATACGAGGAAACTTATACTAACTTATTTACCTGAATTTCACAAATTTTATTTTATTACTTCATTTTAGATTGGATAAAATCATAAGTGCCCTATAGAACTAAGAATATAAGAAACTTCGCTTTATCACCACACATACTTTTTTTGTGCTCATACTTGCTCTCTCTTTTGTTTTGTGTCTTGTTTTATTTACAAGTTTAAACAAATAATGGATAAAACATTCGACGATGATCCATGTAAATTGTTTATTGGCGGTCTTAATCGTCAAACAACAACAGATCAATTACGTAGTTATTTTGAAAGTTATGGTGAATTAACTGATTGTATTGTTATTAAAAATCCTGTTACAAAATTGTCTCGATGTTTTGGTTTTGTTTCTTTTAAAAATCCAGCTCTTGCAGAAATTGTTGTTGACTCAAGATCGCATATGGTCGATGGTAAAGAAGTCGATGTTAAACATGCATCTGCTGAAATACATGAAATGAAACAACAATCAAAACAAGAGCAAGTGAAACAAAAAGTATTTCTTGGTGGAATTGTTAGCGGTATTGAACAACAAGATATTATTGACGCTATGAAATCATTTGGTACTGTATTAAATTTTACAATGGCACACGTGCCAGAAAAGAATCGTCAAAGAGGTTTTGGCTTTTTAATGTTTGATAACGAACAGTCAGCTACAAATGCATGCCATGCACGTTTTATTGATGTTAAAGATTCTACGAATACTTCACATCAAATAGAAGTGAAACCTATTCATTATGTCACATATAAGGATCAATTATCACCACCATCAGACACAAATGAAATTACATCGACAATTCGAGCAAGAAGTCGATCGCCAAGTGAGAAATCAAATAGCAATAATCATCGAAAACGTTCACGTTGGGAAAATTCATCATCAACCTCAAATGAACAAAAACAAAATCCAATCACAAATATCATCAAGAGTAGTTCACATATTTCATTCTCACAACCCGGTCTCATTAGTTATCCGATTCCATTAAAATATTATCAACAAACAATTAAAAATCAGCCATCACATCAACAACAATACTTTCAACAAACATCCAGTTATTATTCTCCGTCAGATGAAATATATTCTCAACATTCGAATCATTATAACAAAACAATATATTCTTATCAAAATAATGGATCGTCATTTCATAATTAAAAAATTTGTTTTTGTTTGTTGAATGTTTAGTGCTGCTTGTATTAATGATAGGTTTTTTTTTGTCACTGTTTTATATCACCATGTTTACGATGTATTTTGCTATGCTTTTAAATTGCAAGCTTACCTAAAGTCTCTTTATCTATCTGTTTCAACCAGCATTTCAAACAAGTTGTATTTTTCTAATGTGAAGTCTTACTTCCCATTATGTTATCTGAATAATAATTTTTTGGTTTATTGAGAATCTCAAATTAATTTTTTTTTCGTTTACGACGATTTTTCATGTACGAATGACATTGGACAAGATAAATTTTCAAAATTAGTCAACTTAGTTTGGTGTTTTCATTCAAAAATAATCCTTTTTTTTCTAAACACTTTAAACGAAACATTTTTCGTCCACTTTTTCGCGTCAGGCTGTCGCCTTTTGTAAAAGCTATAGTTCTTCAAACAGCTAATCTAAGGAGATGGGGAACGTCTTGTTTTGTAGTTAAGATATTTTTCTTTGATACAAAGATCAAGCAAATTCTAGCAGTTGTCTCATTTAAAAGTTACACTGTTTGTGAAGAAGCGCATTTCATAAGAAAAGTATCTTGTCTCTAAGAATCATAGAATGCCGCTCAATTTATCAATAGAATTTATTTGATTGTTGTTATAAAAAACCTATTTCAGACGATCTCCAACTCCTTAAGTTAATTTATTGAACAGGTATGACTTTTATAAAACATGATGAACTGACGGTTTTTACCGGTGTTGGTGGGGACGGGTCGTAAAAATGACATGTTACATACTTGCTCTTTCTTTCTCAAAAGAGCCTCATAGATAAATTGCAACATTCCCTGTATATAATGATGATGTTTAGAAATAAGTCTAGGGGCATTATGCGAGTTTAGTCTACGTGCAAAGAGATTAATCATCGTTTTATATTCGTTTTTATAAGCATTAGTTTGCATTTCTACTTGTACGTTAACATAAAAAATTACAACAACTTTAAACCACTCTTGGTTTGTGAGTCGCATATTAAAAATGATTGTTTTTCCATTATTAATAAAAGAACAATTAAATACAGACTAATGATCTTAAAAGAACAAAATAAAACTATGTTTTATAAGTACTTGACAAAAATAATACCTAAAATTTATGCAGTGATTATCCGTTATACAAATACCCTTTCTCTATACTTATTTTCGAATTTGTTGCTACTTCAACTTATGTTGAACGAAAAGTAAAACGAAGAAATCGCGTATTCATAAATGAGCTCGTTTCTATGATGACATAGGACTATTTATAACAGTGGCAGATCTAGGATTTTCTCAAGGGAGGGGCGATTTCTTTTGAACGGTCTCCGAAGTAGTGTAAGTTATTTATTAAGTTCGCGTTTGAAATAGTGTAAGTTTTTCTGGATTTTTTTAAACGAAACCTTCATTAAAGATGGAAAATTGTGGATTTATCAGTGCGTGAAGAATTTGGAAGGGGAGGGGTATAGCCTTTCGCCCACACGTAGATCCGTCACTGATTTATAAGATAATTTCACTCGACTTTTTCCCTCATCATCTAGCCGAGATATTCTAGTATATTGACATGTAAAACAATATTAGTGATTTTCAAGTTAAGACCTTCAGGATACAAATTGGTACAAAAAGCGTCTGTGAATACAGATTTGCGTCTTCAATAACACAAGTGGTGTCGCTCATTATACCAAAATTTTCACGGCATTCATATGTTCTAAAAAAAACAAACGGCTTCATCGAAGTGTCTACAGAAAAAAAGCGTCTTTTAAGTGTTTTTCATAAAAGTCTTCCATAAAATAAGCGTCTCCTATATGTCTCCACAGTGTCTATGATGTGTCTTCTAAAAAGACGGTACAATGTGTCTTCCTTGATAAGTCATATCAGATGTATAAAATACACGCATTTAAGCGACTGAATAAAATCCGACTTAGTATCTTACTATAAGTCGGATTTAATTCTAGAGGGTAAATATGTAACTATCTAGCAGCTTTCTCGCTAAAACGTCTTCCATGTGACTGCAATGTGGCTGCCATATATCTGTCTACTAGCAGACTCATTGAAGACGTATGAAAGTCTTGTGCAAAATTATATACGTGCTGATGAAAATGATTATCATACTTAATAAATATTACAAAACGACGATTGAAATACGATCTTTTATATGAAAATTAGTTGGTAGTTGTCACAGGTATTTGATATTGATGAAGATAATAGTGAAAAAAAACGAATGAAAACATGAAATTTTTCATCATTTTATTATATTTAAGAAAACAAAAGGGTCAAAAGAGAAAATTGGGGTTCCGTTAAGCAGTATTTTATTTCGAGTGAAATATAATTTGTACGCGCTTCCACTTTTTGGGGATATTGATAATGTTTGATAAGCTCAAATGGGCTTCAAGTCAATATTGTTTTTTATTCCTCGCTAATGGGTATAATGAACGGGCCTAAATTCAATCCGATAAATAACAGATTATATTTCATTTGTCAGTAGATCTAATTCACATTTCAAATAGACAATTTCCAACTTGTTCATCACACCACCTTGTGTGCATTTTTTAATTGAAGAGTTAATTTTCTTACAATCGATCATGCTGTGTTCTATACAATGTTCCAAACCACTAGCAAGTTATACTGTTAATAGATTTCTGCCAATTTTTTCTCATGCTGCTCAGCAATTAACTAATTAATCAAGCGCTCCCGACATTGATACACTATAGGATTCTTGAGAGTAATCTTATTTCGATGAATCTTTCGGCGAAGGTTATGGAACTATTGTTTTCTGTTCGTGTCCAGTAGAAGACGTAGTGTACTATTTTATTGTTTCACAGTATTTAACAATACCAAGTTTGGTGTACCAAGTCGAATTTCTGTATACGAATCCAAGGGGGAAAGCAATCCTGAAATTCTACGGAATCTAGTAGAATCCGGTGGAATTCTACACTTCTCCTGAAACAGAACAAAAGTGTTCTATATTTTGGGGAACTTTTCCCCAAAACAGAACAAAATGTTCTGTTTTGGGGGAAGCTCCAGGGAATCCAAGGGAATCTTATGGATTCCAAGAGAATCCTATGGAATCCCAGGGAATTCGAAGGAATCCCAGAAAATCCGAAGGAATCCTATAGAATCATAGAGAATCCTTGAAATTCAAGATTCTAGGATTCTGTGCTTTCCCCCTTGATACGACTAGTTTGTCTAATAAACGTACTAGTGTTACCGTATTGGTATTCTGAGAAACTGATTACCCATATCATATACGGTCATTTATTTCAACAGGATGTGAAATGAATAAGACAATGTTGATTCTTAGCAAAGTATACAAGAAGTCAACTATGCACAATAGACTAAAATGTGAAATCCTGTTAAGTAATTTAAAAAACAAAAAATCGATATGGACCGAAACTGAAATTTCGATACCGGTGCATCTCTGTTTCTGAGCATTCGAAGTCAAAGTTGATATACTATAGTTGTTTGATATTTTTCATGATTGATCAACCAAGACCGATGTGCAAAAGTCTTTTTACAGTTTCTGGAGATTTAAATCGATCATGTTAGGAGAGAGAGCATCCAGAACAAATGCTAAAATGATCTTTACCCGCTATCCTCAGTATTGCTAACGAAAACAAAACATATGTACAATAAGTCACAAGCGATTTGGTTAGTCGATGAAAGAGAGGTCGATGAAAATAGTTCAGATGTCTATCATACAGAGCAAGTTCAGATACATTATGGAGGAAAGTAGAAATATTCGTTGGACATGCTTATACCCTAGACAAAATCCTATGCACTTCTTATCTGTTTCCTATTTGGATTCTATAGGATCCTATATATCTAGGACCCTGTTATGATCAGTTTAGGATCCTAATAAGTTCCTGGCAGGATCTTAGATGTTAGGCTCCTACCAGAATCTGGAGCGAATCCTAACATTTATAATATTCTCAGACCTTTGTTTCTTAATGAAGAAGGATAGATAATCTCAGGTTGAAGTAATAAAATGTATACGAGCCATTTTTAAATGTACTTTAAAGTTACAAAGATCAGCTTGAGAGAGCTTGAAAGTTTTGTCTTTTCCCCATTGTGAATGATATTGTTGCCAACGGAAACTCGTTGGAAGGATATGAGTCATATCCTTCTCCCTAATGACATTTCGTTACAAAGTTCAACAGTAACACATCCTTGAGGTTATCTTTCGGTATATAGTTATCAATTAACAATTTTGTCAAATCTGTTGTGAGAAACGATGATAAATCAACATTAACGAGTGTATCATCATGAGAGGTAATCGCTTATTCTCTCAAATATATTTTCGCATTTTTTGATGTTTGAAACAGCCATTGTCATCGGACAAACATCACTAAATCGTGTGTTCTATTATCCGTTCTATGTTTGTTTCTCCGAGTGAAATAAATATGGATGTACTTTTTCACAAAATCATAGTAGGTCATACTCATATACGACGGCTAAATAAATTTTATTCATACATTCATGTTTGACAGAGCATAAAAAAAATTAAAGTTCATTTAGAGTTAAAGAAAAGTGCTTTTTCGTATTCAGCACACTTGATAACCTGGAAAATTTTCTATTTTTAGCGA